TTCATTTACACCAGACAGCTATTGTTGTGTTGGTTGTAGTCATTTTTTAATTTGACTATCTCAGGAAAAAGAGGTCAGTGCCCCTGACTAAATAGTTAAGTATTGCATGTTTTTAAAATTCTTGCCAGCACACTGTTTGAAAATTGCTGGTCTAACATGTCATCTGTTGCCAGTTTCTCACTTGATCTAACAATGACAAGTCATATGCTCCTACCCTGGCTCTCCCTTAAAATGTATCTGTGTTTGAATTTAAGTACTAGATAGGGGAAAATATGAACTTTGCTTAAAAGCATCCTAGCATCTATCTTTTGCTCTTTAATCCTTAAATATAGCTGGGGGGAAAATATTGCAAAATTTTTAAGCAATTTTTTAATGTTGAAGTTACATAATTAGTATATAGAGTCAAAATCCTTGGACATAGAGAGAGGACAAATTTTTTCATCTATTTCCCTCAAAGCAACAACCCTTCATGTGAGCTCCTAACGTGCAAGGACCTTGTGCTCAAAAAAAACAGTGACTTTCATTAGGTTATCCTTGACACAGTGAACTTATCTATTAACATGGAGCCTCAAAATGTCACTAGAATTCATCCTAATACTAAAATATGGAAGCAGAAACCACTGTCATAGAATTATGGAATTCTAGAACCACTATGCTCCTCAGAAACAATCTTCTATAACCTTCTTATTTTACAGCTAAGGAAACTGAGGACCAGACATTTTAAGTTGCTAATAAAAGATCTGAAAGCAAGGCAGTGCTAGATAGAGCAAATTCTCTATTTCCTTTCATTTATTTTTCTTAAAGGTACACTATAAATAATTAGGAGAAGTAAGGCTGTAATAGTGTTATCTATTGATAATCACCCATTCTAGGCAGAACATAGTACTTATGCTTCTTCTGTAGACTTAGAACAGTTAAAAGTGGATATCTTTTATTTAGACAATTGGGGAGATCTAAGTAAGTTCTATAGCTTAGATAACAGAATAAAATCTATGTTAATTTCCCTGTTAAAAGTTGTATGTGGTCATATAAGAAAATAGCCCTAACCGGTTTGCTCAGTGGATAGGGTATCAGTCTGCGGACTCAAGGGTCCCAGGTTCCAGTCCGGTCAAGGGCATGTACCTTGGTTGCGGGCACATCACCAGTAGGGAGTGTGCAGAGGCAGCTGATTGATGTTTCTCTCTCATCGAAGTTTCTAACTCTCTATCCCTCTCCCTTCCTCTCTCTAAAAATATCAATAAAATATATTAAAAAAGAAAAGAAAATATCCTTGTATTGGGGAATTATATACAAGTATTTAGGGGTAGTGAGACATTATGTCTGTAGCTTACTTATAGATGGTTCAGAAAGTGTGGGGAGGAGAGAGAGAGAGAGAGAGAGAGAGAGAGAGAGAGAGAGAGAGAGAGAGGGAGGGAGAAATGGCTTGAATTAGAATAAAAAAAAGATGAAAAGAAATGCACCAGATTAAGGATGTATTTTAAAGTAGTCAAAAGATTGGTTGATGGTTTAGACATATAGCTAAAGCAAAAAAGAATGATGGGACACTCACATATTTTTTTAGTTGGGCTGAGTGATTGAGATAGGGAAGACTGGGGGAATGAACATGTTTGATAGAAAGTAGACCCAAAAGTATGCCAAGAATTCTATTTTGTCCCTGCCATACTTCAAGTACCAACATTGAAATTATGTAGAGATATCAAGTATGTGGTTGGATATAAGAATCTGAAATATTAAAGGGAAGACAGGGATGGAAATATAGATTTGAAATTAATGTGATATTAAGTGTGCTTTTTAAAAATTTTATTATTTTTTAATCCTCACCTGAGGATATTTTCCCATTAATTTAAATGTGTGTGTGTGTGTGTGTGTGTGTGTGTTGTGTGTGTGTGTGTATTATATTTTAGAGAGGAAGGGAGAAGGAGAGAAAGATAGAAATATCAGTGATGAGAGAGAATAATTGATCGGCTGCCTCCTGCATGTCCCCTACTGGAAATCAAGCCTGCAACCCCGGCAATGTGCCCTTGACCAAAATTGAACCTGGGACCCTTAAGTCCACAGGCAGACGCTCTATTCACTGAGCCAAACCAGCTAGGGCTTTCCATTGATTTTTAGAGAGAGGGAAAGACAGAGGGAAATATTGATGTGAGAGAACACATCGATTGGTTGCCTCTTTCACCAGTCCCTACCAGGGCCCTGGCCTGTGAGGAACCTGCAATCAAGGTACATGACCTTGACCAGAATTGAACCCGGGACCCTTAGGTCTACAGACTGACGCTCTGTACACTGAGCCAAATTGGCCAGGGAGATGTGCTTTTGATTAAAAAACAAAAGCACAAACACAGCGATTTGATTGTACCCTAGAAATACCTGGAGGTTACCTGATTTAAGAAGGGGCAGCAAATAAAATGAACCATCACCAATGCAATGTCTAATTTTTACTACAGCTAGCTCCATGAATGCTTTTCAAATTCATTTGATTGTATTATAGTCTTCCAAGAGGTCTGGAACATGAAGGTGACCATTGGTGATTCTATATTCATTTTTAGCTTATTGTTCCTGGGACATGACTGGTGGTGAAAGGAATGGAGAACACATGAACAGGGAAAAGTCCGATATTTCTCAAAACAAATGTAATTCATTGAAATAGCATATATAAGGGGGACATCTGTAATATTTTCAATAATAAAGATAAATTTAAAAAAGGAAATAGCATGTATATATGACTTAACAGCAATAGAATTCCAAAATAAATATCCTTTTAATTTCATTATAATTCTTACCTCAAAATTCCTGCAAAGATAAATATATGTAGCCTTGCTACTGACATAACCCTTCAAATAGTTTAAAATAGAACAGCATTCGGATTCCATGCCAAAGCAGACGGGAACTGTCAGAGTAGGCAGTTAGTTATTAACGAAAGAGAAAGGAGGCAGACATCTGGTTAAGCCTGATTAAGTCAGGAAACGAAGTTTCACAGTCACCCTGGGGAGTAACCAGCATCATTTTGGACAACATCCCTTCTAGTCAACAAGGTAGGAAAGTCAGCCTTACAGTTACCCCAAGTGGTTACAGGCTTGGGGGGGAGGGGTGTCACAAAATGGCAAGGGGAAATTCCTTTCACTAAGTGCATGCATAGTAGAAGCCAAGATGAAGCAGAGGGATTCTTTTTACTAAGTGCATATATAGCAGAAGCCAAATAATGAAACAAAACTATGAAGCATGCACAGTAGAAGCCAAAATGGTGACCATAAAGGGGGAAGAGACTAACCTGGGAAAATCTGGGAAAAGGATCCAATTGGAGTATGGCACAAGACCTCGGAAAAGCTAGGAAAGAGATTGGATTGGGGGTGGGTGGGAGGAGGGCACAAACAGAAGCCTGGGAAAAGCCAGGAACCCAGCTCACATCCTCCTTGGGGCACATCCGTGTCCTTCTTTCTCTTGGACATGTACTTTTTGCCTTATTTTCTCCTCAACTCTAAGGGTCCCTGTAAGACTTGCAACCAGAGGAGCAGCGAGCAATGGCAGGGCACTCCTCTTTTGCCTCTGTAACATCCTTTCTTGCGTCCATGCAGACACTACCATAAAGCCTGCCCACTCTCTGTTCCTCTGAGAGTGTACTATCTCTTTTTGCTCTAATAAATCTGCCACTATCATTTAAACCTCTTCTTACATGAGTGTCCCTGAAATTCTTCCCCCAAGACACTGTGGAAGAACTGCAGCCTCTGGTACCAGAAATATAACAAAGCCCTGGTGTTATTTCTAAAATTATATACATTTATATAGCACTTTATAATTTATAAAGTCTTTTTAGCAACATTATCCCATTTTGTTCTTCCCCACAGCCTTGCAAGGTAAATAAGATATATATTATTATGAATAAGGAAAAATGACAGCTTCTGGAAATGAGGTAGCTTGTTTAAATTAAAATGACTATTTTAAGTGACAAGACTATGCTTAAAAGCTAGATCTTCTAACTCTGGGGCTAGTTCTCTTCCTCTGATACCATAAAGCTTCTTTCCTTTTTTTATAACATGGTTAAGTAGATATTTATTGTTTCCCCAATTTCATATTGCACAGAACTGAGTTTACTTACCAGTGAAATGAATGCCTTGACATTATGAAATTATAAAATTATATATATATATATATCAGAAAGAGCTAAGATAAGAATTTATATTTCCTGAGTTGCTGTTTCCACTGATGATTCAGCTAGAGATGTTTATCACTGTAAATCACGGTTTTTGCTACATAAGTACCTTGCGCCAAAACCTCTGAGCAAAACATGCCTGACATAAATTCTCTTATGAATGGTTATAATTCAATTTCTTACCATATTTACTGCATTTTTTAATTTCCAAAGAGATAATGTTTATATTACATAAATGTGCATATTTTTAAACACCTTTTGCAGAAGGAAGTTTAAAATTGCTGAAGCAGATGTGACTATTGCCAAAAAAAAAATGAGGAAGTTAAACAAAACTAAATATAAAAATGTTAGAATATCAGATGTTAGAATGCTTGAGTGGATGCATTGTGGCAGTCACACTTGGGAAATCTTACATTTTACATTTTGGAGACATGTTTTACACAAAGCCCCTATTTACTGAAAATGCTGTTATATGAGTATATGATGGATGCTCTATTTTTGTTTTAGAAGAGGCATGAGTGTAGTTTAAGACTAGCCCAAAGAATCACACTATACTAGATGTTTATAGACACTGATAAAATTTCTCACAACCTATATACCTCATTAATACTGATAGTTATACTTAAAATAAGTTGAGTCCTACATGTATCATTCTTCTCTTTTTACCAGAAGGAAATAGGTTCAGGGAAATTAAAATAAGTTTCCTTGTATCACACAATTAATAAATGATGAAGAATTAGTAATTATTTAGCTTGTTTATATCTCTCAATGAAACAAATAACATATTTTGAGACATCAAGTCAATTATAATAACTATTAGAAATGTTTTTTATCATGGTTTCCCCGGGGCAGAGGTCTGGCTGGGCCTATGCTCTTGCTGGAACTCATGCTGAATTAGCACCTCCTTCCTCCAGCCACACCCAGGGCTGAAAGCTGATCTTCACTTGTTTATGTTTACCTTTGAGACAAAAAATTTAGTCTCTAACATAGAAAACATAGGAAAAACGGAAAATGCAAAAGAATAATAGATTTATTTGCAGAAGTAAACTTGTTCTTAGAACTAAAAGCCAGAGCATGGCAGGTCTGCAAACACTCCGGATCGCTGGCCTTCTTCCACTTGACCTCTGCTTGTTCAAATTTGTTTTCTCCTTCCAAACTTCGGATAAAGCTAGTGATGGATGTGCTGCCTTTACTGGATGGGGTTTCATAGTCAGTCTTACCAGCACTGAAAGATTGAGGTTGACAGACCAGTGTGTAAGTCTGTGAGAACATTACTAGTAAGTTCAGAGTGCAGTTCTGTCTCAGCATCTGTGGGGGTGACTCGGCCCCGGTGGCACAGGGCCCACGCTGGTATCCGGGGCGTGCTCCCTGCAGGCCCAGCTCACCATAGGTGCCTCTTCTCCTAAGAATCTGCCACCTTCCCTGGTCTTCAGGCTAGAAGTTCCGGTTTCTCTCAGAATCTGAGATGCCTCTCCCCCCATGCGCTGTGCTGAAGCTTCACATAACTGGGTGGTTATCAGGGCAAAGTGGAAAGAGTAAAAAAAAGCGAAAAAATAATCAGGATTCCCCCAAAATTGTGGAAAATGGGCCCCATTTTCCCAGGTCCTCTCTAGAAACCAGTTTTCCATGGCATTTTAGGAGCTTAATTCCTGTTCTGATTGCAGCTTCAGGGTAGGTGCAGGGCCAGGAGAGAAGAGGGAATGTTCCCGGGCAGTGCCCCAGTCTGGCTCCGACAGTCCTTTGCCCAGTCCTCTCTGTGTCATTCTAGTCCTGCTGTGATCAGGAGGGAAAACCAATCAGCTCACCTCTAGGCTGCTCATTTGTCAGGTTCTATATATTTTTATTGATTTCAGAAAGGAAGGGAGAGGGAGAGAGAGATAGAAATATCAGTGATGAGAGAGAATCATAGATTGGCTACCTCCTGCATGCCCCACAATGGGGATCGAGCCCGCAAACCGGGCATGTGTCCCTGACCAGAATGGCACCAGGGACTCCCCAGTCCGCAGGTGGACACTCTATCCACTAAGCCAAACCAGCGAGGGCATTTGTCAGGTTCTGACTTCCGCCCAGTCTGCCTGTGGCTGCTTCCTTTCCAGATTCCGCAGTTTCCAGCCTTTTCTATTCTGTCCCCAGCTCATGGTGGTCATCAGTGAGGGGACGGCTGGTTGTGGACCTGCTCCACCTTGGTGGCTCCAGAATATTGTGTTATCTTTTTTTTTTTTAAGAAGAAAGGGAAGGAAGAAAGTGAGCCTGGACAGCAAGTAGACTTACTTTAGAAATAAATGAACAGTGTCTTTTTTCATAGACCTTTGAAATGCTCGGTTGGTTGGTATGAGGTACTTTTTGTTTTCCTCTCTGGGTATTCTTCCTGAAAAAGGTGGACGGAGTTGGCGGCACAGATATGGGGACAGAGGGTGAGCATGCAGTCTCGGGTTCCGAGAGGCATGGTGTTCACACTGTTCTGAATTTGTGAGCCTCTCTCGCCTTGTGGTTCAGGATTGGCAGTAGGTGGGACCAGCTGTGAATAGCTCCTCCTGTGCCCTCCTGATATGCCCGTCTGTTGGTCCTTCATGCCACTGTCAGCTGAATGTGGAGGGTCAGTAGGCCTCCAGGGCACTTAGTGAAGCCACCTGTCTGAAAGCTCTGGGTCCCTGAGTCACTGTGCGGAGAGGAAGAGCCACAGTGGTTCCCAGGCCCACAACATGGAACACAAATAGATTTCACTGGGTTCAGACATTGGAAAGTCCGTTATTACCTTAGCAGACACAGTCTTTGATGGGCAATTAGAATCTCCCGGGCTTAACCTCTGAGTAAGTGTTGGACTTTTGATGAGTTACTTTTCGTCTCTCATCTTGGTTTAATCTCCTGCAGAATAGAGACATCTCTGGAAGAAGAGAGCATGTAGAGATAAGGTACTATTATCATCAAATTTTGAGCACCATAATGCCAAATACACAGAGAAAAAATATTAATCATCCCTTACCTTTGATAGAGTGTAAGCACCATTTCTGCAGTTGTGATCTGCAGATCATTTAAAAGCATAGACTCCCTACAATGGTGCCACCTTCCCTCTGATCATCACATGTCCTTGAATCATGTCAGATATAAACATTGCTACCTCAGCCATTTTCCTCATTTCCATTTACATAAAATGCCTTTTTTTAATCCCTTTCCTTTTAGTCCATGTGTACCTATTATTTTGATGTGGGTTTCTTGTAGACAGCATACATATGGGTCTTATTTCCTTATCCATTCAGCTACCCTATGTCTTTTGATTGGAGTATTTAAAGTGATTATTGATAGGATAGTATTTATTGCCATTTTATTCTTTTAACTGTGTTCATGTTGTTTTTTCTTCTTCTTCAAGAAGATCCTTTAATAGGCACTGTATTACTGATTTGGTGGTGACAAACATTTTTAGTCTTTTCTTGACTGAAAAGCTCTTGATTTTTTTTTTTTCCAATTTTAAATGATGGCCTTGCTGGGTAGAGTAGTATTGGTTTTAGTTTATTGCTTTCTATCACTTTGAATAATTTGTTCTAAACCCTTCTCTCCTGCAATGTTTCTGTTGAGAAATCAGCTATTTGACCTATAGTTGCTCCCTTTGAAGGTAACTCTCTCTCTCGCTGATTTTAAGATTCTTTGTTTTTAACCTTTGTCATTTTAATTATGATGTGTCTTGGTGTGGATCTCTTTGAGTTCATCTGCTTTGGGACACTCTGTGCTTCCTGGACTGGTGTGTCTTTTTCCTTCACCAAGGTTAGGGAAATTTTCAATTATTTCTTCAAATAGGTTCTCAATCCCTCGCTCTATTTGTTCTTCTTCTGTTACTCCTATGATGTGGATGTTGTTATGCTTCATGTTCCAAAGGTCCCTTAAACTATCATTTTTTAATTTTTTTTTCTGCATTGAATGGGTGTTTTCTGCTACCCTGTCTTTGAAATTGCTTATTTGATCCTCTGTTTCATCCAATCAACAGTTTATTCCTTCTAGAGTATTCTTCATTTCAGATATTGTATTGTTAATTTCTGATGGGTTCTTTTTTAGTTTCTATGTCCTCTTTCATGCTATCTCTTTGTTTATGTTCTCACTGATTTCATCCATTCTTTTTCTAAGTCCCTTGAGCATCCATATATCCACTGCTTTGATATCTACATCTGGCAGACTGCTTGCCTCTACTTCATTTAACTTTTTTTCTAATTTATTCTGTTCTTTCATTTGGGGCATGTTTCTTTGTCCTCCCATTGTGGCTGTTTCTTTGTTTCTATTTATTGGATAGATATGCTTTGGTTCCCACTCTTGATAGGGTGGCCACCATCTTAGATCTCTAACAATGTCTTTCCTTTTAAGAAGGAATAATACTGTATTGGTGGACCCACTTTGTGTTTATCCATTCATCCGTCACTGGAATACCTGAGTTGCTTCAATGTTTAGCTATTGTGAATAACACTGATGTGAACATGGGTGTGCATATATTTCTTCAAGACCTTGCCTTCAATTCTTTAAAATATATTTTTTTAAAATTATACTTTATTGATTTTTTTGCAGAGAGGAAGGGAGAGAGATAGAGAGGTAGAAACATTGATGAGAGAGAAACATCGATCAGCCGCCTCCTGCACACCTCCTACTGGGGATGTGCCCACAACCAAGGTACATGCCCTTGACCGGAATCGAACCTGGGACCTTTCAGTCCACAGGCTGGTGCTCTATCCACTAAGCCAAACTGGTTAGGGCTTCAATTCTTTAAATATCCAGAAATGGGATTGCTGGATCACATGGTAGTTCTGTGTTGTTGTTTTCTTGAGAAACCTGCTTTCCACAGCAGTTGCACCTGTTCACATTTTTAACTTCAGGGTACAATAATCTGTATATTGTATGCCCACCACCTGGCTTTCATTTTAAGAGTGGAATTAAAAGGTTAACAGACCACATCTTTAGACTTAAGGTATATGGAACTCATAGCTTGAGATTAGCCATGTGAGCTCAAGGACTCTACAATGAGTCCATGGGTTCTCAGAGGCCTGGGAGCTGCTTCCTGCTGTGTGCAATTCATGGGTCTTCTAGGATGGGGTAGTGGAGCAAGAGCATGATTAGGTCATGCAGCTGCAATCTTATCATTGTTTCATGAAAGTTTAGTCCCTTTGTGTGTGGCTGACCCTAGCAGATGCCTCCCTCCATTTCTTTCCTAACAGAACTATAGTTCTATTCAGGTGTTCCATCAGATATATGTTCACTGGCTGCCCAGGCAGGACTCTCCCAGCCTTTTGCCCCCTAAGGCATGGTGAGTCAGGCTGGCTGGGGTACAGGGGAGGGCAGAGGGCAGATAAAGAGCCCTCGGGTGGGTTGAAAATGCTATTAGATCCATTAAGGCTTTTAGGCATGAGAATGATACGATCTGATATGTGTGTGTGTGTGTGTGTGTGTGTATCTTTTCACAGTTCTGGAGATTGAGAAGTACAGGATAAAGGCACTGGCAGATCCAGTGTCTGGTGAAGGTCTCCTTTCTACTTTTAGACAGCTGTCATCCTGCTGTAACATTACATGGTAATTTATATTTTTTAAAGATGACTCTGCAATTTTACATTGGAAATATCTGAGATGTGTCTTCTTCTTTTTCTTAAATTTATTGGGGTGGCACTGGTCAATACAGGTTTCAACTGTAAATTGCTATGATATATAATTTATATATTTTGTTGTGTGCCTACCACCCAAAGTTAAATAATCTTTCTGTTATACATACATTTAGCTCCTTTATCCTTTACTACCATCCATGACTGTTCCCACAGGTAACCATCATACTGTTTTCTGTGTCTATGCGTTTCAGTTTTATATCCCACATATGAGTGAAATCATGTGGTTCTTAGGTTTTTACAACTGACTTATTTCTCTTAGCATAATATTCTCATGTTGTTGCATATTGCATTTTTCATCTTTTCTTGTGGCTTTGAGATGGGTCTTGAAAGCACAGGTAGGATTTAGACAGATGAAGAGGGTGAGGAATGTGCTTCAGGTACAGAGAGTGGGCACACCTGAAGGCAGGAGAGATGAAGACCCTAGCACACACCCTGCAGAGGCCTGTGAGGGGGGGACAGGGCAGGGGAGCAGAAGACCCTCTATGGAAGGAACAAGGCAGAGGGGGAAAGGGACCATCCATAGAGGGAGCAGGGCAAGGGGAGAGAGGACCCTGTTCCCTCCATGGAGGATCCTGTGTCCCCTGCCCTACCTTCTCCATGGAGGATCCTGTGTCCCCGACCTGCCTTCTCCATGGAGGGTCCCCTGTCTTCCCTGGAGGAAGGAGAGATAAAGACTGGAGACCTGAGCACAGACCTCCCAGAAGCCTATGAATGAGGGGACAGAGCAGAGAAACAGAAGACCCTACATGAAGGGGGCAGAGTAGGAAGGACAAAGGACCCTTCATGCAGGAGGCAAGGCAGAGGGACAGGGAACCCTCCATGGAAAGACAGGGTACTAAAACAAGGAACCCTTGCCTGGAATAATAGTGTTGTTAATTTGCCATTTGCTTGGAATGTTGTTGTTTTTTAATTTATCTTACTAAGAGATATTATCCTGTATTCTATTGGTTTGTGAAATGCCTACTCTGAGCCTTTGTTAAATAAATTGCTGACAAAGACTAATCAATCTCTGAGCATAATTTTGATGCCCAATACAAAACAAAACAAAACATAAATTTATATACTATTTGAGGAAATAAAGCTTTTTCTCCTCCTTCTCAATAATATTATCTCTCATTGTAGTGTGTACCTATAGCAGTAATGGCGAACCTTTTGAGCTCGGCATGTCAGCATTTTGAAAAACCCTAACTTAACTCTGGTGCTGTGTCACATATAGAATTTTTTTTGATATTTGCAACCATAGTAAAACAAAGACTTATATTTTTGATATTTATTTTATATATTTAAATGCCATTTAACAAAGAAAAATCAACCAAAAAAATGAGTTCACGTATCACCTCTGACACGCGTGTCATAGGTTCGCCATCACAGGCTTATAGGAATCAGGAATGTAATATCAGTTACTGATCTATCCTCTCCTATATAATAAAAGGCTAATATGCAAATCGACTGAATGGTGGGACGACTGGTCGCTATGATGTGCACTGACCACCAGGGGGCAGATGCTCAACACAGGAACTGCCCCCTGGTGGTCAGTGTGCTCCCACAGCGGGAGTGCTGCTCAGCCAGAAGCCAGGCTCATGGCTGGCAAGCGCAGCGGCGGTGGCAGGAGCCACTCTCGCCTCCGCGGCAGCGCTAAGAACCCCTCGGGCGATGTCCGACTGTCAGGAGTGGGCCTAAGCTGGCAGCCGGACATCCCCCAAGGGTCCCGGATTGTGAGAGGGTGCTGGCTTGGCTGAGGAACCCTCCCCACCCCCCAGTGCATGAATGTCGTGCACTGGGCCTCTAGTGTTATATAAATGCCAAAATTACAGTTGTATTTATGGCCAATAAATACAGCCTATAAACATTATTAAATTGTTTCAAAAATAACAGAGAATAGTTATCTGGGAGGCACAAAAAAAGAAATTGCTTTGTTGGAGATTGTTAAACTAAAAATAAAATATCTTTCAAAGTAATGGGCAACAAGCATTTATTTGAGATAAAAAAAAAATCTATTCAGAAAGCACTGATTTAGATAGAAGCCCACAAAATATTCTGATAAAGAGACAAAAGCAAAGGGTGTTTATGAGAAAGGGAAGAAGGACAATTACATCAGTAGAGGAAGGCCTTTCTATGAGTACAGAAAAGCTAACATAGTGATACTAAGTCTAAACAATTTTCTGTCTGTGAGTCATCAGTCTTATAGTCATAATATCTGCTTTCTTATTATCTTTGCAAATAGTTCAATGTTGTTTCAGGCCTAGTCCAAAGGTAATTTTGCCCTAATTTAACATTCCAAAGATTTGAGGCATAAGACGTGGGGGGCAGTGACTCTGGAATGGCAGCTCTGGCTCCATTTTAAAGTGGCTCCATCTATTATTATTATTATTATTTATTTATTTATTTTTTTTTTACAAAACTACCTCAAAGATTTTCCTCTTATTTACACTGGCTGCCTGTGGGGCCCCTCAGATGATTCCAATGTAAACCAGGGTGGAGTAGTACTGTGTCAGATGATCTTTAAGCTCCCTTCCTGCTCTAAAATCAGTTGTTTCTAATAACAGAGTTACATTTTTATTTCATTCCAATAGTTAAATTTAAACATTGCCAGTTGTTTGAATTTATTTTTATATTTTCATTATTTAACCTTCAGGAAGGATATTCAAGTCAAAATGTAAAAGTGTCTCCTGTTACAATACTTATTTGAAAAACAAACAAATCTAAGCAAAGAAGAAACTTTGAAAAATAAGCCTGTGAGCAGAATTCAAAATTATGTGTAGATAAGGGGCAATAAATTTCCAAGTTAATTAAACCTAGACTTTTAAGAAAAGATGAAAGCAAAACTGCATAGCCAGAAAATATAAAAATTAGAATAGATCCCTAAGGAAACCAAGGCAGGAAAAATTAAGGACATTTTTATATAGAATTGGTGTCAGGAAACTTAAGGAAAAAGAATGGAAAAAAAGAGATTAAACCAATGGTATGACAAATGAAGAGATGGTGCAGGTGACCTGGGAGAGAAGCTGGGTGAAAGGCATGAATTATGAAGGAAGGCGCTGCCCTGAGAAAAAGAAGCTCAACCTCTTCACTGGAGTTAGAGGGAGCAGCAAATGGTCCAGGCCTTAGGGGTTGAGGGAGAGACCATCACATCTTCATCATCAACTAGGTCATTTAAGAACACTTTATGTCAAAATAACCATTATAGATGTACTTAAGGAACATACAATACATATGAGGCTCACTGGACTCAGTACCAATTCACATTTAAAAAAAGATCAGAAAGCCCTAGCCAGTTTGGCTCAGTGGATTGAGTGTTGGCCTGTGGACTGAAGGGTCCGAGGTTCAATTCTGGTCAAGGGCACATGCCTGGTTGCAGGCTCGGTCCCCAATAAGGGGCGTGCAGGAGGCAGCCGATCAATGATTCTCTCTCACCATTGATGCTTCTGTCTGTCTCCCTCTCCCTTCCTCTTTGAAATCAATAGGCTCAGAGCAGGCATTTCACAAACCAATAGCATACAGGATAATATCTCTTAGTAAGACAAAATATTTTTTTAAATGTTTTAAAAAAAGATCAGAAATATATTTTTAAGAAAAGGTAGCCCACAGAAGCCACCTTTCCCTTATATTACTTGACATTCAAGAGCCTTTTAACACAACATAGTTAATATTCCAGAGCAGCATATATTTGGGTGGTTTATAGAAACCACCTTCTCCTTATATTACTTGACATTTTAGAACATTTTAGGTTTTGATGTCTAGTTGTTAATGTTCCACATTCTTCTTCTAAAAATGAGGTTCACATGGCCATTGTGCAGAACATTTGTAAGACAAAGGAAAACACACCTCCCATCCCAGCACCTTGATATAAATATCAATAATATCTTTGGCATATATATTTGCATTTTTTCATATGAAGTTTGTATGAATTTGCAACCTTAACTTTAGATGTGCAAAAGTAGAAGGCAAGATTTGGGCCCTCGTTATCTGCACGCCCTGGTGTTAGGTCTATGACTGTGTTACTTTACACAACGAAAGGGAATTAAGGTTGCAGATGGAATTAGGTTGCTAAGCAGTTAACAAAATAGGGAGATTATACTGGGCTTCTTGGGTGGAAATGGAAGTAGAAAAGGAAGTCAGAGAGATGTGACTGTTAGGAAGAGGCAGGAGAGATTCGAATCATGAGGGGGCTCAACCTGCCACTACTGGCTTTGATGATGTAGCATGGGGATCATGAGCCAGAAGGAGTTTAGAATATGCTACCCCAAATATATGTTGCTCTGGCATATTGACTATTTTGTCTTTAAGGCTCCTGAAAAACAGCAAATATAAGAAAAATACTTATATTTTTCTTTAAAAGCAGTGGATGAAATACCTATATGAAAGATGTCCTCTCTACACCGTAAGAAAAATACATTCTAATCATCAAGGACAGGAAGTTGAGATAAAGAGAATTCTATATAAACAGACCTCGTTAAAATAATTCTTATCTTCCATAAGCCTGCCCACATAGCTGAGTCACCTTTTCACAATTGCCTCTCTTTGTTCTAATATAAAAGTGAATTGGTTTCACAATTTCTTTGGGTCTTTGTGCCTCATGAAAGCTCCTAAGTCATGAAAAGCTTGTTAAATAAATGTGTATGCTTTTCTTCTGTTGATTTGTATTATGTCAATTTAATTCTCAGACCCAGCCAAAAGGAACCCTAAGAGGTTTTGTAGGGAGCAGCTATAGGGTCAAGCCTCGGATTGACCTGTGGCAGGGACACAAACAAGTCCCAGCTTGGGGGGCAGAGCCCTCCTAGCATAATTAAGCGTGACCTTATAGTCCTCCATTGTTCTTTCCTAGGTACCTAATGGGCTGTGGGAGGTGCAGCAAGTGCTGCCAAAACAAGCTGAAACTCGCAAGAACACTGTAAACATGTTGACCACTTCCCTTGTTTTGCTTTGTGTGCTCTGACTATAAAATAAAGCTTTGGCTTTCAGCAGGGGTCCTCAAACATTTTAAACAGGGGGCCAGTTCATTGTCCCTCAGGCTGTTGGAGGGAACTATGAACAAATTCCAAT